CCGCCCGGCCGGCGCGCCGCCGCACTGCGGCCCCCACGGATCCCTCCGCGGCCCGCTCCGAGCTGACGGACCCTGCGGCCCCTCCCAACCGCCAGCCCCCGCCGCAAAGAGCTGGATTTACCGCCGGACACGCGCGCGCGCTCCCGCCGCGGGACTACTTTCTGTCTCCGTGTGCCCCGCTCCCTGTGCCCATTCCATTTCCCTCCCCGGCGGAGGGGCATCGGTCGGCAGCGCGTGACGCGTCTCTGTGAGAGCCGCGCCGCTATTGGGCCAGGGCCATGGCGGAAATGAGAGCGCGGCGCCGATTGGTCCGGCCTTCCCTGCAATGCGTCAAACTGGGGCGAGCCACTGTGTGGTGGTGGTGGGGAAGGCTGAGATGTGTGGTTACGTGGAACTTTGAATCGTAATGAGGCGAAGGGGGAAACTGTGTGGCTGTTCTAGAAGCAAAGATATCGTATTCATGGCTAGGAAGTAGTAACAGGGCTGGCGGGAGATGCAGAAGGACTCTTTCAGCTCTCCCCTCTAATAAATGGAAGATGGTTCAACCCAAACTGCTGGGCTCTGGAAGCCCCGCCCCCAACTGTGCCCAACGTGGCCGCGGGGGTCTCCGTCACTTAAAAGTTCCATCCTAAGAGGCACTGCACATGTGTGTGGAACTCTAGCCCAAGTCCACTAGTGATCGACTCAGAGTCTGAAATTAGGGCCGTCCCAGGACAGCTTCTGAGAACTTAATTTAGTCATTCATTCAATAAGCATGAATTGGGCGCCTGCTGCATGAAGGTTCCTGTGGTTGGCTGGGCTGGGTAGACCGTACTTCGCAACCATTCTCCAGTCACTTCTAGACCACCTGACTCTTTCACCCCTTGCTCTAGGGTTCCAACCATAGGAGGAAAAGGATGGACAGGTTAGCTGAATCTATTTGTTAACTGGAGCTCAAGATAATATCCGTCTTCTCTTGTTTGGAACCAGTTGCCATGGAGTCCATTCTGACTCATGGCCACCCCATGTGTGTCAGAGTAGAACTATGCTCCACAGGGTTGTGTGTGTGTAAAATTATATATAACACGTTTGCCAGTTCAGTGTTCTTCATGTATACAAATTACTGATATCAATTATATTATGTCGTGCAACCATCACCATCCATAGGGTTTTCAACGGCTGATGTTTTCGAAGTAGATTGCCTCTACTTCCTCTAGGTGGAATGGAACTGCCAGCCCTTCGGTTAGCAGCTGAGCACAGTTAACAGTTTGCACCGCCCAGGGACCCCAGAAGAGCTGCCATTCTCTTATGTGCAACCTCCCCTACCACAGTGATTGGCTGAGGGATGGGCATGTGAGTCAAGCTGGACTAATGGTTATGTCTCACTTCTTGGATGCAGTGATTGGTTGAGAGATAGGAACAGACTATGGGTTGAGCCCGTGAGAGTCCTTCCCTGGTTTTTTTGGATCTGGAGCTGGGGGCAAGAAGGCGTTTCCTCTTGTGTGGTGAGGAATCGGTCTTCCTATTCTGAGAAAATGTCTGCGGCCATTTTCCCACTCTCTCCCTCCTCACCTTGTGGAAGACACTGTTGAGAAGAGAATAAAACTGACACGGGAGAGAAACAAAGAGGAGATGGAGAGAGAGGGATTGGGAGAGGGGGGAGAGAAAGATTAAGGTATTGTTCGTTCTGTTGACATTCATTTCCTTGGTTCCAGTACTCTTGAGACCCGCTGCACCCCATCCTGCTGGAACTTTGTTTACATGAGCCATTTAATTTTCCTTCCATCCCAAGCTAGTTTGAATTGAATTTCTGTCATTTGCAACCCAAGGATTCCTGCTGGATATGAGCTGGGCTTCCTTATTCCAGGCCTGTGTCATCATCAATAAGGAAGGCCAAGTATTCAGTCAACATTTGTTGAACAAATAAGCAAAATGAAGAGCTCATGTTCTTTCCCCTTCTCTCTTTTTTTTAATTCTCAATTTCTCTCAGGCAGATCTTAGTTTCTAAATTACTTGGGGATGTGAAGTTATACAAATAACACTAGCTAACACTTTTTAACACTTACTCTCTGCCGGACACTGTTCCAAGCATGTTGCGTGCATTAATTTATTTAATTCTCAGAATCTCCCTATGAGTTTCTTATCTCCATTTTCCAGCTGATGAAATAGTTTGACTGCCACTGGAATCAGATCAGACCAGAGAAATAGGGAGGCGTGATCAAGCACAGGGAGGTGAAGTAACTTACCCAAGGTCACATAGTAGGAGGTAGAGTCAGGATTTGAACCTGCAGACCCCACACTCTTAACCACTGCATTGCACTGTTGTTGTGGTTGGGTGTCTTTGAGTCAATTTCGACTCATAGCTTCCCCATTTGACAGAGTAAAAATGTCCCATAAGGTTTTCTAGGCTATAATCTTTACAGGAACAGATTGCCAGGTCTTTTTCCCGTAAAGCTGCTGGGTCGATATGAACCTCCAACCTTTCAGTTAGCAGCTGAGTGCTTAACCATTGTGCCACTAGGGCTCCCAGCTGCATTACACTACCAGTGTTTAAAATATATTATGATGATCTCCTGTGACAGAGCTTGTGACTGGCTCCCATTATCCATTCTCCCAATCTTCCAGAGTTGTATTTTTACAATGTTGCACTTTTCATTTTATTGAGTTCAAAATATTTTTGTGATCAGAGAACATACTCTGTATGATTTCAAGTCTTTGAAATGTAATGACACTTGTTTTATGGCCTAACATATGGTAAATCTTGTTTAATATTCTGTGTACACTTGGAAAGAATGTGTATTTTGTTGTTATTGTATAGAATACTCCTTAAATTATGCTAAATGGAGAAAAGATGGAAGTTGTCAAGGATTTCATTTTACTTGGATCCACAATCAACACCCATGGAAGCAGCAGTCAAGAAATGATACGACACTTTGCACTGGGCAAATCTGCTGCAAAAGACCTTTTTAAGGTGTTAAAAAGCAAAGATGTCACCTTGAAGACTATGATGCGCCTGATGCAAGCCATGGTGTTTTCAGTTGACTCATATGCATCAGAAAGCTGGACAATGAATAAGGAAGACCGAAGATGAATTGATGCCTTTGAATTATGGTGTTGGTGAAGAATACTGAATATACCATGAGGTGCCAAAAGAATGAACATAACTGTCTTGGAAGAAGTACAACCAGAATTCTCCTTAGAAGCAAGGATGGCGTGACTTCATCTCACATACTTTGGACATGTTATCAGGAGGGACCAGTCTCTGGAGAAGGACATCATGCTTGGTGAAGTAGAGTGTCAGTGAAAAAGAGGAAGACCCTCAACAAGATGGATTGACACAGTGGCTGCAACAGTGGGCTCAACCATAACAATGATTGTTAGGATGGCGCAGCACCGGGCAGTGTTTCGTTCTGTTGTACACAGGGCGACTATGAGTTGGAGTCGACTCAACGACACCTAACAACAACAACAACAACAACAACAACGTTCTTTAAATGTTAATTAGATCAAATTAATTGATAGTGTTGCTCAAGTCTTCTATATCCTTACTGATTTTCTGTCTACTTGTTCTAGCAATTGCTGCAAGAATAGTATTAACATCTCCAACTATAATTGTGGATTTTTCTACTTTTCCCTTTAGATCTATCAACTTTTGCTTCATGTGTTTTAAAGGTCTGTTATTGGGTGCATACACATTTATGATTATTATGTCTTACTGGCAAATTTACCCTTTTATCATTATAAAGTGACCCTCTTTATTTTTGGATATTCCTTCTTCTAAAGTCTACTTGGTCTGATATTAATATGCCACTTCAGATTTCTTATATTTCCTTTTGCATGGTATGTTTTTTTCTACCCTTTTACTTTCAACTTGAGTTTATCTTTATATTTAAAGTGTGTTTCTTATGGACATCATATAATTGGGTTTTGCTTTTTTAATCATTCTGACAATCTCTGTATTTTAACTGTAGTGTTTAGTCCACTTACATTTAACATGATTAATTATATGGCTTAGTTGAAGTTTCCCTTTTTGCTGTTTGCTTTCTATTTAAACCATCTGCTGTTTGTTCCTTTTTTTTTGTCTTCTTTTAGGCTAATTGTGTATTTAATGTTCCCTCAATTGGTTTTTAAAGATAAACTGTTTAATTTTAGAGTAGTTTTAGATTTAGATTCACTAAATCTAACTAATTTACTATTACTAAATTACTATTTACTTTACTACTACTAAAACTAAATAGTTTTAGATTTACAGAAAAGTTGCAATAGTACAGAGAGGTCCCATATACCCTACACCCAGTTTCCCTATTATGAACATCTTACAATACTATGGTATTTGTCACAACTAATGAACCAATATATTGATACACTGTTATTAAAATGCATGCATACTTGATTCAGATGATCTTATTTTTTATCTAATATTCTTCTTTTCTTCCAGGATCCCATACGGGATACCACATTGCATTTGAACTCTGACAGTTTCTTAGACTCTGTTTTGATGATCTTGGCAGTTTTGAAGGGTACTGGTCAGGTATTTTGTAGAAAGCCCTTCAGCTGGGATTTGTCTGATGTTTTTCTCATGATTAGACTGAGATTATGGGTTTTTGTGAGCAAGACTATAGGTAAAATGTCTTTGTCCTTAAAACAAAGATGAAAATGCAAGGGGGCAGGGAAACTAGATTAATGGAGATGGAACAACCAGAATGGAAATGAGAATGTTCATGCATTGTGATGAAGGTTACTAATGTTGCTGAACAACTTGTGTAGAAACTGTTGAATGGGAACCTAAACTGCCGCGTAAACCTATACTGAAAACACAATAAAATATTATTTAAAAAAATGTCTTTGTCATCACATCATATCAAGGGTACATATCAGCATGACTCGTCACTGTGAATGCTAACCTTGATCATCA